TATCACTTGTCCCTTTTAGTATTTATAATGGAATTTTTTGGATCATTTAAAACGATTGGGTAACAAATTTTAAGATTTTTTTATCATTTCAAAATCGTTACAAAATTTCAACTCAAATTAAATTTTATAGTTAGGTCAAGTTCTCCGTCATTTACAGATTATTGTATTATTATTAATGATTTGTAATAAGTTACAGATTTACTCGCATCGATCTCAAAACTTTTCGACATATTTCTGCAAACTTAAAATTGCCTCATCATGAAATAAACAAAGCGCTTTTTCTTTATAACTCAATTTTTGCACCTTTGCAAAAATGGTCCCTTTACAAACATTTCCTTCCACGAGTTACAACTTTATAAATACTTATAAAGAAGGAAAGTTGCTAACTTGGATTGGTTTAGCATATCGCATTGCATTATTTTGCAAAAATTTGAACCATCATTTTACAAACTTTACAAATTTCCTTGATTTCTAAAATTCTAATAATTCTGAAAAAAAATCTATTCAAACTACTAAAACCTGTAGCAAAATCAGAAATCATATCAACATTTACATGAATCCTTTCCCTTTATCCAAAACATCTCATTTCCCATCCTTCCCGCTGACACTCACACGACAACCCCGACATCGACACAACATGACGTAACAATACCTGCATCAAAAAATAGTATAAAAAATCCCCCAAGATCACAATCCATCCAATCCAATCCCGATTTTTTTTACCAGTGAGTGAAACTGATCTTAACCGGGTGACATAACAGGTTGAAATAAGATGAGATTATTATTGGATCGGATTTGGTGCCGGCATTTGACGCGCATTTGACGTCCTGATATCCTCAAAGTGTCGATAAAAAAGAGGGGGAATGAGCACTTATGGCAAATCAAATGGGCAATTTCACCCCGTTTTCGTTCAGATTTATTTCCCTGGGTCCAATCCAATGAAACAATTCAATTCACAATTATTACACGATGGGAAAGCAAGTGGAGGTGTATGGATGGAGACCTGGTGGGTGGGTGGGTTTCATAATGGGCGAAATTGTGTCGGAATTGGATCCCAAATTGGCAATTCTACGACATTTCATCAACCCGTGGTAGCTATATTATTGTCGAGAGAGAAGGGTGAAAGTAATGGGTTTTATGTCGAGACCGGATTTCGGCTGGAGTGACAGAATGTCAAAGTCAATATTGGCAGGGTTCAGAATTTTCAGTTTTTTTTGTACAGTGTTTTTTGGGTGAAGTATTTTTCGTGTTTTTTTGTGGAATATTTTGGATTTTGTTTCAATTATGCATGTGTTTCGTAATTTTTTTACAGAATTAAGGTTGGAAGACCTTATCCGAGTAAAATGTAAAGAGATTTAGTCACAGGAAATATTTTTTATGATGCACATGAATTTATTTATTAGTCACAGAATTTTTGATTTTGTCATTAATTCAAAATTTTTGATCAATGTTGTTTTAGAAAAATTAATTAATTGAACCTGGAAAATAGCCAATTTCATTGAAGATATCTTTATAAATGTCAAGATTTTTTACTCAAAAAAGTTAGCGCTGTTGAATTATAGCATTGCCAAATAATTATTTGCACACAACGACGTTTGTAAAGTTCTCGAAAGTTATTCTGTAATTGAAATACTAAATATGGAACGTGAAAACTAAATTTGTACCGGAAATCATTAATTTCAGTTTCATAAAGAACAAATTCATGAATAACTATATAATCTTAGACCCTCCGATGTTTCTACCTTATGTAACTTTTAATTCATAAATTTCTAAAATAATCTGTTTCGGATTTTACATAACACTCCAGAAAATCTAGAACAAAACTTTTTTAATCCTTACAAAAATCTAATTTTCTGATTTTTTGAATCTTACAATTTTTCGATATGAAGGTTATTTTATTATAATTTGAAAGTTTTACATAGATTATTTTTTTTCTACAAATCGGAATTAGGTAAACAGCAGAATATTTTTTAAATGGGAGAGATTGTGTTCCATGAAATTTTCTCACAAAATATAAGACAGTTTCTTCCCTGTAACGAAACACTGGTTTTCTTAGGTCTGTCCGGGATAAGGACACCGATAAGAACGGTTGATAAGGTGAAACCGTGCCCATCATGATCTCCTCTTACTCTCCGAAACAATCGGATTTACGATTCTTTAATGACGAAACTTGTCACATTTTGTAATATTATTGCAAAACTGAGAGGGAAAGTTTTCTTAATGGAGGAAAGAAAGTAAGGTTGTATTGCATATAGTACATAATTTTTTGTGTTGCTATTTCATTGTATGCTTTATTAGGTATAGGGTTCTGAGTATAATGGTGTTTTTCATGCAGAAGAAAAGTGGTGTCGGGCTGAACACTCTTAAGAAAATGGTAATAAAATGTTTGGTCTCTGGTGAAAGTTATTTTATGTACTTTAATACTGAGATTGTAGAGTTTGCAAGAAATTTGGTATTGATTTGGTAATACTTTGGGATGGGTTGGTTGTTGGTAACAAGTTTGAATTTTGCACATGTTACCAATCGAAAACGTCCGGTAACAGATTCCTACCAAATTATTTATTAGCATAATACCATAATTTGGTAGAAATTGGCACTGATTTGGTAATACTATGTAATGAATTGGTAACAAATTTGAATTTTCCATATATTACCAATCTATGTATGGTAAACCTCCGGTGGCCCCGGTAACAGATTCCTACCAAATTATTTACCACGATTTACTTCCAGCGGGTCATAAAACGCTACCGAACCGGCCAACTCTCCCATTCGACATGTCTCCAAAGATTTTTAAGCGTGTCTACCCTGAAATGGGGAAAAGAACTGTTTCTGATTTTTTTCACTCTTGGAGTGAACAAGAAGAGGAAATGATTGTGCATTGTGTGTATTATTCCGCTAAAAAATTCATAACGAGATGGAGACATCTCTTTACATCCCCTTATTCCTTGCTGTTGTACAGTTGGATCCCGTCCGTTGTTACATTTTGTTATGATTCACATGACTTGTTTACATTTATTTATTCAGTTGCTTCCTTTCCTGTACTTTTACTTCTGCTCTGTTGGTTTGGTTTTGGTTGATATTTTTTGAATTGTTGTACTGTACAACAGGGGGAAAAAGCATGGTAAAAAGGCGGATATATGATTTCGATCTGGAGAAAATATTTATCCTTGGAAAGAGACGTGTTAAGAAATATTTGGTGGTGAAAGTGGCAGGATGTCAAATGTCAAAAAGGCATATAAATGAGCGGACACGATAGATATGTGTATGTACAGAGAAGATAAGAATTTTGTATTTTTAAAGGCATATTTCTATACTCGTCACAATTCAATCGTCATAGTCTGAAGAAAGCGAATGTCTCAGCATTATGCGACAGACTTTAATATAATAAAAAATCACTATCAATAAATTAGCCTTAGAAATAGTTTTGTGAGAAAAAATGTCTTTCATTACATTGAAAAATCAGTAAATTTTATCTGTAAAATATAAACTGTTTGAAAACTCGGTCTGCTCTCAGAATAAAAATTTTAAATGGAGCAAAAAATTTTCGAAGATCAATTTGTGAGAAGAGAACTGAAATTCAGACGAAATAAAAATTAGTATTCAAAATATACTGCTAAGTGGTAACGTGATCTTACTCATCACAAAAATTAGCCAGATAGCTTTATAACCAAAAACGACGTGAAACATGCGAAATAATGATAATCTTCTTTATTATATCAGAATGCAGCTAATGCTAACCTTCAATTTTTAATTGTGTTACTCACAAATATGTTGCAATTTATAGTAATTATTATACCTTCCCATTCCCATATTACTTGCGGCAAATTAAATATTTTGGACAATAGTTCATTTTTCTGTCTACCTGCTTAACTTACATAGTAAAATCATATGCCGTTTTATTCTTTGAGTCTATTAAAATAAAATTTGCAGCATTTACATATTTAGTTTCTAGGATTACGCAATTTTATGTCTTAATCTTAATCTCGTCGAAATAAATACTTAAATATTAAACTAAAATTACGGAAGGTTTCTATTTGGACAATTTTGCTTAGGTTAAAGCTTAACAGGAGTAAGTCTTTTTTCATTTTAAATTTCTTCATTGTATTTCTCATTTCTTGCTTCGTCAAATATTTGCATTTTAGACATGAATGTTTACCCAGTGCGACACTGTTCAAGTCTTCCGACTTGTTTGTTTCCTTCCTTTTTCCATTTTGTTATTTACCTTGCACTGAACAGAAGAATAAACCGGGTTGAAACGGAAGTGAAAGCATGAGGAGAGTGAAAAGTTCAGTCTTATTTATCCTCCCTCAGGATAAATATGTGAGTATTTTTATTCTCTAAAAAATGTGGTAGCAAAATTTCTGAGACAAATTTGACCTACGTAAATTATTCGTTCGGTGACAAATCGTTAAAATGTGCAATTTTTCATATTTTTGTTTCATCATTTCTAGATAAAAATATTATTTTTATAAAAAATAAGTTAAATAAATATTTGCAATAAATTTATATGAACATGTTTGATGTCTTAAGTCATATTTTTAGAAAATTTAAAACATTGAGTTTGTTATTAGGTGGGCGGAACGTCGTCAGCAGTTTTATTAATATAAAAAATCATTTATGCAACTTTTCATGCAAAAGAATTTGAAAAGTTGTTAATTTTTAATTTTAATAATTTTAATTCATTTTAATTTTTTTTAGTTTTTCTGGAAATCTCACGTTTCTCAGAGATCGAATTTTCTCCGAGAAACTTGAATTGGGCGTAACAAAATTATGAGAAAAATTTTAGCTACACGAAAATTATTGGTTCCGTGACAAATGTTAAAATTTGCACCTTTTCATGCAAAATTTGCAATATTCTTATCTAATGTCGTATATAATTTGAAATGAATGTTTAAAATTTTTTGTGAGATTTTCTGGAAATCTCACATTTCTCAGGGATCGGATTTTCTCCGAGAAACTGGAATTGGCCGGACAGCGACACCTTTCCCTTCTGACGGCTCCACCACCACGAAACCCGCGCCAACCAACCTGTTGTTCATTAACAATTTATTAACTACTCCGTCACAAAGAAAACGAATCAATTTTTAGAAAACGGACAGCCAAACTATTTTTAATATGTGAACAATTAAACTTTAAATTTTTATGAGGGGTGAAGCTAATTATTTTAATTATTTTTGGACGACGAGAGTGCATGTTAATGCTGGACAAGGTTAGTTTTGATTTCACTTTTGTGTTGAAAATTTTGCGTAGTTGATAATTATAATTATTCTGGAATAATTAATAATTGTAATTTGTATGTATTTGTGATGATTTTTAATTACAGGACTGTTTTTAACCTTAAACTGACATCGATAAGACAACGAAACGAAAGGATCTGTAATTTTGTAATATCGACTACTTTCGATCGCAATTTTGTAAATTATAATGGCGACTAATGGAGGATGTCCACCGCCAAGTAAGGACTTATCTCGTGAGAACAATGGGAACGGAAATCAGCATAATGTTCACATTGTTGGAAATAAAGTTACACCGAAACCGGTCGTCGATCTGGATGAGGATCTGAGAAAGAAGGTTGAATCTCTCAAGGTAAAATATAAATAACTATCAGAATTAATTGTTGTGAAGAAAATACACTAATTTTCATCCTTTCTCTTGTAGATTGGTGACACTAAAAACCAATTATTCCGTGCAATCGGCGACCCTGCTGCCGACCCGACGAGTCAATCGAAATCTTACGAAGATTGGAAGGACGAACTTCCCATTCATCTCAAATCGTTAAAGTTTATGATTGGCGTTTTGCACGATCGCCATCAATCGTCGGGTTTTGTGTCCATCCCTGAAAATCCTGATTCTGCACCGAAACTACAAAACATGAACATTTTAGAAGACGAAGGGTGGGAAGATGGGGCTGATCAGGTGACTGAAATGCTGTTCAAGAAACGACCCATCCGACTGCCATATTACCATCATTATGGGTTGGGTGTGGGTGGTGGTAGTGGTGGGGCCGGGAGAAGACCCAGGATGGTGGCGACGACGAGGAATATCCCGTAAGATAAGAATACATCAAAATTTAGTTGTTTCGTATTTTCTTTCAAGTGATATAATTGGAACTAAATTATATTTTAAATCATCATTGATAAAATTTTAATGACATTTTTCTTAATTTTTTGACTGAAATAGTCGACGCCGTACAAAATCTGCTGGACCCGATCTCTCCTCTTATCGGAACGAAACCCCATTTGGCACCCGATCCTACAAGCATCGCGACTCCGACACGGCCTTAAGCTCCTCCTCGACCGCTTGGTTTCGTAAACGACGCTCCATCGATCTCAACGGAGTTCATGTCGTAGAAGAAATAAGTGAAGAGGACGAAGATGATCTTGAATTGGATCGTATCCTTCACCACCGGAAACGGATTGGAAGTGCGGACGGATCTCCAGACTCGCTCAGCGTTGAGATGGAGTTAAATTTGAATTCGGATTCTTCTTTGTCGAGCCCCATTTTGAAACCCGTTCATCGACTTAGACGCGATTTGTGGAATATTTCACCCATCTCGGAAGACTTTTCCGAATCTGATAAGGAAGTCGAGGTGGCAGTTGGAATTGGTGGTGGGGACGAAGAAAATGCAAATCTAGATCTCTCTGCGGTATCGTCGACTAACGCGACGTTTGGCGATTCGTGTCTAGTTAATTCTTCAAGGTTAAATTGTTTTTACGAAAATTTTCTATACTTTATACGAAATTTTGCAACATTTTCATACAGCTTGCAGTGTTTTCTTATAACTAGCAACTTTTCTTATGAATTTTGATTTCTGTGTATCCAATTTCGCAATATTTATTTGCAATGTTTTATCTAGATTTGCAACATTCGTCTTATAAAATTCTCATTTTTTATCTAGACTGAGCTGCTCCTCTCCCATCTTGGCTCATTCTCCCTCCCTGAGAAAGACGCCGGTCTCAAATTCATCAGTACTTTCATCCTCCCATGTTGACACTCCTCCTGCCACTGGAATAAGCAGCGTGACCAGACGAATTCGTGCCATTGCACGATGTCTCGACGACATCTCGGACAAAGAGGAGGAGGCCAATACTTCAACGACGGAAGAAAGTGACAGCAGCAGTGACGAAGAGGAGGAAAAGACTGAAAGTTTCGAAATCGATTTGTGCGCTGCGGGTGACGCGTCCTCCTCTTCCGTGAACCTTGACCTTCTCAATACTTCGTTCACGGACGTGAGCAGTTCAAGTTTGAACATGGAAACCGAGTTGATGCAAGAAGGCCAAGCTAAAGTTGCCGATGGTTAGAAAACATAAATCATCATGGTTGTCAAATTGTCAATAATCATTAGTTATTTTATGATACTACAGGGGACAAGATAACGCCACCATCCACGATAACCACGACAGTCTGGGAAACACTGAGTGCTAACATTCAAGCTCACATGGTTGTCGGTAATCCAGCCGGATTTGTGGAGGGGGTAGATCGAAATCAGCCTAAAAAATCTTAATTATCGTATTATCACATTAACATAAGGACCAGTTAAAACTAATCTGACTAATTGTTTACGAAAATTTTGCATGTTCTAAATCTTGTCGTCATCCGGCCACTGGTTTTCTCGTGTTTGTTACGTTCCTAAAAGCAATTCCAAAAGTATGGCGTCAAAGTTCTTAACTATCATGATTTATTTATTAGTTTAGGATAATAATTTACGAGATTGTAATCTTGAATGCCTTAATTTCTCAGTGTCTTATTTAATTCCGCCTTGATTATCAAGACAAGGCAAAAAACTTATTAGTATTCACACATCATTCCGTTCAAGATTGAATTTCTACTAGTTTTTTGAACGAAATCAACTATTTATGTAACAATAGATAGACAGGAGACACACTATATTGACAAAGTCATACATACACCTGAGGAGGGGAGGTTGTGTACTATCAACTCCCGGATCTCGATGCCCTTTGGATATTTTGTAGTGTCCCATGAATGTACAAGAACCCTGAAGTGGTTTGATGCCATGGCCACATTTGCGCCCGCCACACCCACTCAAATGTGCCCATAAATCGCTTTCACTCCAGCTTTCACTCATTCAAAACCACGCCAAAAATCCAATTTTACTCCGATTTTCAAATTTCTTTCAACATTATACTCCCAGATAGTTGCTTTCTTATTTCCAACATCAAACTCAACTTTTTGAAATTCTTAGTATTTTTAAAATTTAAAATTCTGAATGAGCATTGTTGTAGTAATCAACAAAACAAATTATGCCTGCGAAATAATCATCCAAAAATCAGGACAAGGATGTAGGATCCGGGAGTTGATAGTACACAACCTCCCCTCCTGAGTAGGTAGACCCCCCACAAATCCTTTATTTTATTGTAGTTGTTGTGAGTGTGACAACTTGTCAGCTAAACAAAGGAAATCTTACTTCTTCTTCACCTGTCTCGTATATCTGTCTTGTCTCTACATTATACATTTATTACTAACGATATAAAAATTAACAACGCAATTAGAAGAACGAAAATATGACGAAATCCTGTCCAGCACAAGACAAAAACAACTCAACTCGCACAGTATGCAAGAGAAGAAAGACAAAACATCTCAGTTTACTAATCGGTCGGTGATCCGGTCGTTATTCTTATCGTGTCACGATACGAGTAGAATTTATTTATATCTATTGACTATTATATACTAATCCGTAGTAGTGTATGAAATAAGTCAATCTTTTTTCCTTGTTGGTAAATCTGTCATAGTTTTGTGGAGAATTACGTCTTATTTCATGAATGATTTGATTGATGAATTGATTTCCTGGTAGGTTGGGCTTTTTCTAGAGATAAGAATATTAATATTCAGTCTTTTTGTATGGCGTGATTGTATTTTTGGGAGATTTGCTGTATTTTTCCTGGCATGTTTTTGTTTAGGTTGTCACTGTCAGCATAAATACGTAGGTAGTATTGTGTAACAAGTACTTTACTTAATGGTTACTGTTTTTTACCACGCTGTGTTTTCAGCTTATTTCTTCCACGTTGTTTTGTTTTATCCAGGCGAATGAAAACATCATTAGTATTTATATTTATGATAAATTATGCAATTGTGTTGTTGTGTGCATTGTATTCAGATTTACTTTGGGCAGAAAAAATGGATGCGTCGTCGTCGTTGTTGTTATTTTTGCCTTATGTGTACGGTTTGTACCTAATTGTATATATTGTCATCTTAACTGTTTGCTGTTAATATTTTTACTGCTGTTAATTAATGATGAGCTAATTGGTCACTAAATGCAGGTAGGTTTTAAGGCGAGCTAATTTTATGAAAGTATTAAATACTTGTCCAAGACTCGATATGATGAATTATTACTTTTGTGTAAGAATTGGCGAGTGAAGTGGCAATAAAAAACTACATGTGGGAAAACTAAATGTGCAAATATTATGGAAATAATTGCGGCAGGAAGTCTGTCATTAGTGGATGTGTGTGTCATTACTCAGGTACATACTCGGCTGGCATGCATGCATAATAAATCGGTTCAATGCAAATAGGTAACGTAACAGAAATGCAATTACTAAATAGCTTTGTTAGACCGGAAATGAATTTGTAGTTTGGATGACATTTCCATAAGTTCAAAGTTCGTATTATTACGGGAGAAGAAACTTTGTGCTGAATTAAGAAATAAGACAGTTGTGTCCGTCCGTTGGTAACTCGTGAACGAAAAAAACATATAAACTTGAAACTTTCAAGATGCACTCTTAAAGTCATGGGACACGGCGAGTTCAAAGATGGAAGGTCACTGCGCCAGGGCACAGATCATGATTTTTTTAAATTAGAATGACATCATGTGAGTTCTCAACTCGAGAGCATACATTATTTCAATATTTTTATTTCTTATATAAAATGATTAAAAACCTTGAAAAAATTAAAAATTCTGAACCAGTTTTAAGTTCATACATGGAAAAATATGCACCATTTTTTTCACAATTTATTCATTTATACTATTTTTTGCAATTACAGATGTGAATTTGCAACCTATTTCAATTCCTTCCCAAAAATAGCTTGTTTTAATACAATTCTGACATTTTGCTTATACATAAAAATGGCTTAAAAACTAATATGTACATAAATATATATGACACAGAATTGGCACGCTTTTTGTTAAAAAATTTCTTTCACATTGGAAGTGGTGGTTTCGCATCGCCACCCATGTTGATAGCCGTGCCGGATTTGTTTGACCTGCGTCGACCCCCAGCACCACCGTCTTGATCATTCGCACCGGAAATGGCTTGTGCCGGCTGCTGCTGCTCCTTGTTCTTGACGTAGACGGATTTCTGCAAGGCGACAATTTCTTCCTTCACGTCCGTCGGGATTTTAGTGTCGGAGAACAGCTTTTCCGTCCAGAGTGAGGGGTCAATATTGAGCGTGGGTGCGTACTGGTCAATCCGATCGAGTAGAGTTTGTGGATAGTCGGGCGAGAAGTAGTTCACAATGTCGGGAGGAAAGCAGGAGTTGATGCTAAAAAAAGAGAAAAAATTGAAATTGCATCAATTTATGCATTTTTTCACAGAAACTTTGCAATGATTGATGTAGTTTACTGTAGAGTGCAAAAATACAATTGTGCGAAATCTTTGGAACGAAACGTATAGTTTAATATATATGTAAAAATGTAGTTTTCGCCATAAAAGTGGAGCACCTAGAGATTTGTTAAATCAGTTAATTTTTCTAAAATCTTAAATTAGACGTGGAAATCATGCATTTTATTTGTAAACTAATTCTACATAATTTGGCAAAAACAATTTTGCCAAATTACAGCCACAAGTAATTTTAAGAGATACGAAATTATTTTATTAGAAATCTAATTTAACCAAGCTTCTAACTAGTAAATCATTATTTTCTAGTTGTACACACATAAAGTATTTGAGCACAATTTCGCTAAAATTTGCACATGAAATGATATTTATGTACATATTAACAAATTAATTTTTTTTAACTTCATACATTTTAAAATCTGTCATTTTTCTTCTTATCTATTTATAATAAACTCGCATCAATTTTGCCATCCCTGTTTTTCCCATATCCGAAATAAAACCTGAAGATCTATTCATCCATCAATCACTTGCCTTGACAAAGCTCAGCGAAGGAGGTAGAAACACAAACGAGGGATGAAAGACAGAAAAGAGATCCAATTAAAAGGTTGAGTGATTGCATTAGATGAGACCTAATTTTGGACATCCACTTGCGTCACTCTTCCTCCTCTAACAAATACATTGTGCGAATCTCAAACTACTTATGTAACTTTGTCTCCCTCAAGTTCAATTTGGGAAATGCATCGAAACTTGAAAGCTGTAAATTAATTGGGGTTTTACGACCCCAAAGTGCAACATAATCTCATTAAATTGCACAATTGCTAAATATTTACAATGTACGTCACCCCAATTTCGTGTTTATTCTATTTTGCAGAGATGCTTAAAATACATGTGACAATTCGCGAATTTCGCACATTGTTGTTCCAAATATGTACATCTATGATTTTCATTTTGCACACAAATTTTCAAAAAATCTATCCCACAGCTAAAGTTAGTTAGTCACCAGAAAGGTGGACACATCACGAAGCAATCAAATTATGAGTCACGTTACGTCATTCGAGTCGAGGCTTAATTGCACTCAAGAAAACCCAGCCCAACAAGATCGTCCTCTCGACGATCTTGGTAAAGAAACTACGTTGCATACGACACAATATCATGAAATCTTGTCAAGTGGAGTGGAATGAATCATCATCAAACAACATGATACGATACGTACCTCGTGCCATGCGAAACACAAATTTGCACACATGTGCACATACTTAAATTGAAGTATGCAAATGTGACTAACCTGAACAAGTGTGACAAAACACTTGTTTAATGCAGTGAACTACATACAGATATTTATCTCTCTACGTATAAATTACTTATGTATGTACATATGTAAATCTCATGTATGTTTTGCGATTAGTCAGAGGTTCTACACGGTATCGAATTGATCAGGGATTTTTACCAAAGCAAAAAATATGTATGTATATCGTCACAAAGTCAGGCTGAAAATGCAAACACGGAAGAAGCGTTGATAAAATCCACGCTTAATCTAAATCTACATCCTTGTCCTGAATCTGCATAAATGGACTAATGGCCTACGAGGCGTTATACTATCAATCATTTTTCGTGTGGATTGGATTGAATTATGCATAAAGTTTGAAAGTAGTAAATATCGTCCCTGAAAGATACAACTTTTACCATATAATTTTGCATAGTTTGCGAAATTTTGTCAAACTTTGTAACACATAAAAAAGACACCTTCCAAAAACTTACAGTTGGATATGCTCCCTCAAAATGTCGGGACAATCGGGTGTCAGCAATTCTTGGATTTTCCGCAGGCCTCCTGACGTCTGTAAAACAAAGGCGAAACAATCAACTTCAACTTCAAGTCAAGATCCGGATCTCATCATGACACCACAAAAAATGGTCAAATTCAATAACCCCAACCCACACTGTAGGTATTTCACCTCTGGCAGAAAACCCAAGAAATTTGTAGTAACGTAGATATTTTGCCCATGATTTCATTTCTCCTTTGTGACTCATATTTAATTTTAATTGGACAACGTACTTTCTCTGTAGCTAAAATTAAGCCATACAAATTTTGCCAAAATTTCTAGTAACGAATTTACTATCGGGAATTAATTTTGGCCAACTCAACCACAATTCTCGACTTCCTCGTGCCGTACATTGTGTGACATCAAATTCTGGCAACTCATTAAATCAGGGAGCGTTGCTTGTAAGGAGAACGCATGATAACGATATCGCAAAAGACAATAGGAGATGAAATGTGGTAAATCATATCGTATAATGATTCAGGAGACGGAGTAGAGCTCAATCAAATCATGAAATCAAATCGTCGCACAAAGGAATCACTGAGAACAAAGGGGCACAAAGTCGTGATAAAAGAGAAATAGTATATTTATAGGGTGACGGCCGTGCAGAAAGGGTGGGGTGCAATATTTTTTGCACAAGTTTGCAATTATTTTGGGGTGATGGGGAGTGGAACATGAAATTGTGCAAAAGCAGAGGGCACATTTCGTATGCATGGCCCATTGAAGTACGACTTGCTTGAATAATGGAATCGAACAGGATTTCATGACTGACAGTGTTTCTTAAAATTGCAAAATTTTTTCGCACAAATTCGCCACGAGTGGGAAAAACTGGGGGAAATGTTTATTTCACACTCATTTCACGCAGCTACAATTTACTGGAACAGTTTAACAAGTAAATAATTCTTGTTACTAATAATACTTCACTCTTTTGTGTTTGTAACCCATTAAATTCTGTTTAAATATTTGTCCACGTTTCCAAAAGTGAACAAATATTACAAAATTTGCATAATTTACAAACATCCTAGTGAATTGCGTCATTACAGAGGGTACAAAGTACGAAACACTGTTTCTCTCCTCGACGGAGTTAAAATCATGAACAAAAGGACGCTTTTTGCAGTGAGGGATAAAATAATGGGAGTCACAAAATCATAAAAGGAGTCACTATCGATTAAATGATATCAATTATGTGCACTATTATGATAACGAAAATGGTGTCAATTTATGAGGTCGAGTAAGTAAAACAAAGGAAGAAACGATAACGAACGATAAAAAATTGAGGAGACAGAAAAACATACCACGAAATTGCGACGAGCTCCGGGATCCTTGGGGAGAATCTGGAATATAAAATTTGGACAAAATTATGAAATATTTTTGAAAAAAGTAGTAAATTTTGAGGAGAATTTTTTTTAGTAAAATTAGGGCAAACATTTGCAAATTATTTTTGCACACTAGTTTGCAAGCATATCGGCAAACTTGGAATGATAATATCACTTGTCATCATTTTACCCACGCGTTGAAAATTCCCATGCAGTTTTAAACAAAGTACACAAACCAATATTGATTTTCTCCTCGTGTTGCTAAATTATCGAGAAAATGCATCCATTCTAAAGTAACATTTGATAGGAAAATCGCAGTTGTTTCTCTCATCAAATTTTTAACTCGTCATGTTTATCCACACGAGTCTGATGGAATATCTAATCGTACATGATGTGGATTTACAGAAAAGATGTCATCATTTTAATAAGTATTCTCTGCCATGACACATTTACAGCTTGTCAGCTTACTTATTTTACAGCTAAATCCTTTCTGGATGGGCAGAAACGATGTCATCATTTTATTCTTTGCCATAACACGTTACAGCCATACCTGTTCACTTTCATTCATTTGACTTATTATGATAGTGAATAAAAATAAAAATACTGTCATTTAAATGAAAATGACAGAAGGATTCCGTCATTTCAGATGAATGATTGTGAATGAAGGGATTTTTCACCCATTTCACCGTATGGTTAATACATGGGGTGAAGTAACAAATGAAGTCAGATGAAGTGAAGTGAAATGAATTTGAACGAAAATGATTGAATGTGAATGAAAATCTTCACTCAGTAATCAGGATGAATGACTTATGAATGAAAACTAAATTTTTGAACAGGTATGATTACAGCACGTCAGCTCATTTTATCGTCACATCCTTCACGATGCCCCCCTCTCCATTCAGTCGAGAAGGTGAAAGCACTCGAAAAAAGTAATATTAAATTGAGCAGCAAACCCGACTTGACCAAAGGTGACGACGGAAGTACATGTTTTTTTGTGCTCGCAGCAGAATATTATTGCCTATGCAAACACGAAAAATGTGAATTCGTTCCTTCATAAAAGGCAAAAGGCAGGCCACGAAACGAAAGAGAGCAATTCAATTCCACTCAACTTTCTCCACGATGCGTCGTGCGCAAATAAAAATATGTATGAGAAACGTGATACATGTTACGTGTCACCATGTTAAACAGGAGCATGCCACCCAACCACCCACGTACGTTCATAGTTCAATCCACCCACGACCTATTTGGTTATTACACGATGGTAAAATCCGGATAGAAACAATTCAACGACACTATTAATTAGGGTAGATTTGATCTGAATGCATTTGCAGAAAAAGCACAGGTGCATGTGCTCACATGCACATGGGAAATGAAACGTTATCAGTGACACGCTAATTACGGAACGAATTAGTAAAGTATCCTTAATTAAGTGGGATTTTGGGTCAAATCGTGATTTTTTTTAGAGGAAATATGCATGCAAAACATATTTTGGCATAAAAATTAGGAAATTCGGGATAAAAAAAGACGACAACTTTCTGTGCCGAATTATTTTGCATACTTTCTGTCAATTTTTTATGCTTCAATATTTTGGCATACAAATTAGGAAAGCGAAATTTGGAATAAAAAACATGACGACTTTCTCCCACTTATTTTTGTGCCGACTTTTTCTTTCTCCGGCTGGCACTTTAGTATTCAATTTATCAAACAAAAGGTCCCCAGATTACTTTTACCCAGTAGTCTACTCTACTCATGGATTGCAATTTGTGAACAAAAATATCCTGCCATGTTGTCGATTATATATTTCCTTTCTATGGCTCGATTCATTGTCGCCTACTCGTTTTGAATAAGCGAAAGGAACGCAAAAAAATGTGAGAGGAAGAGGTCTGCACTCTAAATAATTTTGGAGTAAAAGTGGTTATCGAAAGGTAAGGACATTAGGTAATTCTATTTTTTGGTAACGATTGGTAAAAAATTGGGAAACAGTAAGTTACTGTCTGGTATCAAATTGTGACTATATGGAACCAAATTGATCTTACACACCACCCGGTAACAATTTGCTACCACAGTTTTTACAGTGTATCTATGAGGGATACATAGTGTAAATAATGTGAAAGTCTCATTTCCTGTCGGGCTTTACATACGCTTTATCTGAGCATATGCATAGGCCGATAAGCGCCATTCATTCCCACCACGACTGTGCTTTGTTCATTAGTCGGCGGACGGAAGTAGGAGGCATTTTCGTCAAAACTGGCTAAAATGATGTCGATGGATAAAAACCTTTCCGCACAAAGGCTCAAAAGTCCAGTATTCTGCGGAAGGCAGAAGTCTCGCCGTGTCGAAAAAGTCGTGACCTTAATTCCAACAAATTTGGGACAATTCTCCTTATTTACTAATTGACAAGTTTTTTCGTTTTAGCAATAAATGGCACCTAATCTGTGACCACATGCCAATTTTTTTGCTAATTACATACTTTGAAAGCTACATATTTACATACATATTATTTAAAAACAGTAGGTAATAATAATCTTGGAAGAAAAAAGTGCTCTATTTTCAAACGTTTCTTGCTACCTAAGTTAATTTTTAGCTCGTCATAAACACGTCATCAGAATAATTATCATAATTATTTATCAAGTTTATGTTCAGGGTTTTGTTTGTTTGTTTGTAACGTGATGCAGTCTCGTGATCGAGATTTATCATAAAATCTGTGTAAAACCAGGGATTGTTATGTAACAAGTGTTAGAATTTGGTATTAAAAATATAAATATTTAATAGCCTTCAACTTGTCCAGTAAGTAAAGTAAGTAATTATTATCTAAATAAATAACAAATATGTATAATATGTACTTAGCGAGTTGGGATGATGACGAGTGACCACACCACTAATTTGCATGCATACATACTAATGACAACAATTACCAAATACCAAGAAGTGTTGATTTTCTTATGAAGACATTAAATAATGTAAATATGAAAATATTTAACTAAATTTATTTCTAACTCTAACTGAAGTGGATAATTGTGATGTTTTGTAACAAGGCAGAAATATAAATGGATAGAGATCACGACCTCGACAACAGTTTAAAAGTCCAAGATCAACAATAAGTCGTTGACTGTGGTTGCGTAATGTCAAAGTAAATGACATTCAAAACAAGGAAGTTGGTAACAATTTACCACACTGGTAACGATTTACCACCGAACAGTAAAAATATAAATTTTGCGAAAGTCTGGTAGATTTCTGTGATAAATTTATAGTGAATTTTGCAGAAAATTTCTCGGGTTATTTGGTGGCGATTTGTCACCGAACAGTAACAATACAATTTTTGCGAAACTCTGGTAGCTTTCTGTGACCACGAATTTCACAGAAATTACTTGTTAACGTTCGGGTTATTGATGTTTCAATTTTAGCGAAATATACTTAAAACTACCACGTTGCAAACATTCCCATGGACGTAATCAAATCTACGAAATTGCGCAATCTGCACACTACTAGTAATTGAATACACGCGTTGTAAACTTTTGTCCACGTAGATTAAATCAATTTTGTACAAAAGTTTACTTGCCAACTAATTTTTGCCACGTTTTGTTAACTGAATAGAAAGGTTGAGGACGTTACGTATGTACACAAGTAATTATAGAATTCAATCTCACATTGAAGTCACCCACTCTGTTGTACAAATGCTCATTCAACTAGTTTTCCTCCTCTACATTTTACGCAAAAATAGTCGCCCTCTCTCTTTCTCGTCGTCCCAAATGACAAATCCCAAATCTCAACTTTACTTGTCAGATACAATTTTGCTGCTCCCGTACATTTCGTTCTTGCGTCATTGGGATGAGATTGGGTGCACTCACGTTGAAGTATACCTAGTAAATACGTGGATTATTCTGCCTATGTATGATCAAATTTAGGAGAATGCGTACGTACGTACGAGGAAATTTCTTTGATCTATTTAGGATTATAGAAAATTAAATTATTTAATGTGGCAATTCACTCGAATTAATGTTTGTAAAGGTGAATTTTTTTGTAAAATTGTTTTACCAAATAAAGACAAAACTTTTTACGATTGATTTATAACTTCAAAATTCGTTTGTAAAAATTTGGTAAAAATTTGGAGTATTTAAACGGGTAGCTGTGTAATTTGTGTGAAATTATTATTATTTAATTCACAGAGTAAAGAGATGTGTGCTACTAAACGGTTACGATAGATTTATAACCTGATTTTTTTTCGCAATTTTTATAAAATTTTTATGAAAATTTCGAAACGATTTTTAAAAATTTGAATTGAATTTTACTAAATAAATACGAGGAGACTCTTTTTAAAGGCAAGACAATCCGTTTTAAGGATGACTTTGTACTAATATTAGAATTGCTCTGACGTGAGTGCCCCCAATTTATGGGACGGCATGGGAATCTCTGACCAGCCAGGGTAGCAACAGAGATAACAAAAAAGTCCAAAAATAGGCTGAAACTGCCAACATCATTTCTCTCCCGAGTTCAATTCGACATCATGAAGATCGTGGAACAACAGAGAGAAGTAAATAAAATAGGGAAAATCTGCTCGTCATTTCTCCAATATTCTTAGAAACCTATCAGACGAAGGAGAAACTTGATTAAATATTTGTAAAGGGTAGGAACGTGGATTTAACAGAAATAAGAAATTTATGCAAAATAATCAATACGCAAGTTTTTGCAAAGTTCTAAAACTGGGATTCTTTACAAAATTTGAACTAAATTTTTTGCAACTTAGTATTTGCAAAATTTGAATTACAAGCAATGCAATTTCAAAACGTCACTTGTTACGACAGTTTCAAATTACATTAAAGCATAAATTTTGGCATAAAATCCCTGATTATAATCCAATCGAGAACAATGATAGCTTTTTTGGCAACATGTTTTTTTCTATATGCAAATTATTTTGAAATTACATCACATTGACGTTGTTGATCACCACTTTGGTTTTCATTTCGTAAATCCGGAACGAATTGATGCCCCATTTTTCCTTTCCGGCATGACATTACGGACGGATAAAGCTTGACATGGCTAAAGTGAAGTAAAGGTCTCCCCGCATAAAATAGTATTGGTAGCTCAAGGCGACTCGTAAAGAGCGGAGAATTCCCAGAGTAGCAGTGTAGTGAGTTAACCCGTGTCGTTTCACTTTATCATGTCGCGTTTTGCGTCAATGCCGGCCGAGATGCAAATGTAAAACAGAATCCAATAATACATTTACTCCCTTTTAACATCATCGCATCATATTTGCATCCATCATCATCATCATCTCGACAAACATAAATAAATAGCCATCATAAAAGAAGAGAAGGAATATTTAATGGGGGAATGAAAATCGTAACAATTCCGTAAGTAATGGGTGTAGTCACGTCAAGGTGGGGAGCAAGGGTTTTGCTGATTTTGGAAAATTGGGGATTTTGCCGATTTTGTAAAATTAGTTTTTTTTGCAAGCGGTAAATAAATATAGGCACATACATACCGTTTTAAAGATTAGTCAATTTTGACGTGTGTATTTACTATTAGATTGCAAAAATTAGCAAATATGTATAACGGAAAAATTAAGAATCCGCATAATTAGATATTATTTGCAAAGATTGCAGATTTGCTAAAATTTTTGCACAACCAGTAGGAAACAACAAATCGCACCATTTTTATAAATCCGCATTTCTAATTTATAAAATGACTACAAAATTATTACAAGTTAACAGATCAGTCCAAATTTACCAATTTTATCACCAGCCCACCACACATTTATAAATAGCCTATGATAAAAATTTATCAAACATTTATAATACAATAAACCAGAAAAAAAAATTCTTCCTGTTCATGCACATTTGCCCATGATGCATATGCTAATCCCACAAATATATTACCCACCAAACCAACCAATAATAATAATAACACGTCCTTGTCCTCTAAAACTGCATACCACATTTCGCACATAAATCATTTTCTGGCTGGAGTAAATAAATTACTAATACATACATTTTACCTTACTTTACATACTTGTCACACCAACTGTGCCTACGTTCTTTAGTTGACACTGACTGAGGAAATATTAATGAATCATGGAAAAATCGATCCACTACTATCAATAATACAAAATAGATTAGCGTCCTCCTCGTCACATGGGCATATCTCGCACCGTCATAAAATTATCCCAAACACGGCCAAGCACGCATTTCCAATAACTCTTAACAATATTATTACTCATGTTACACTGTAAATCGTGTCATACAGTAAAATTCAGCCGATTTATTTTACAGGTTAATAGCTCCACACAATAACGAGAGAGAGAGAGCGAGTAACCATAAGCTATCTACAACCTGCATTTCATACGATTTGTTTCATTGACGTCAATGGGGCTGCAACTAGTCAGAGAAGAAGAGGCAGCATCACCTAATCGACACCAGTACCACCACCAGCTCAGCAAAAACCAAGAGCAAAACGGTCTCACTACAAGTAGTCTGAGTGAAAACGGGATCTCTTCTGCATCCCATAACAAAACTAACAAATCTGTGCGAATCGAGATTTTTGAGCATCACTCGCTCCCAGAAGTTCGTGCAGGACGCAACGGTGGGCTTGAAATTAGGGGAAGTTCTACCAAACTGTTTAACCCGCACGGGAAGAAAAAACTTTTTCAGAAAAAGCTGACTGAAAATTCGGAAAAGTTACAAACTCCGAATTGTTGGGATCCCTACGAGCGAATTGGAAGCAGTACTTCATCGAGTGGACTTCACCTCTTGTGGGACGCGTTTCAACCCGAACTGCGGACCGGTTACGGGTACAAGTGTGTGACGCGGAGTACTAAGGTGTACCTCGAGTTGGAAAAGGTGGACATTGCGAGTGACGACTTGCTGCTGGACGAGAAGAAGAAGACTTGTCAAATAGTGCGTAAAGTGAGGAGGAGAAAACAATTAAAAAGTGGGCAGCTTATCGATCCGCCCAGTATTGATTAGTACATCGGACAAGAGAGCAATTTGCGGTAAAAGGTGAGTTTGTCTAGTTTATTTTATGGCGAAATCTGTGACACGACTGTTTAAATAATGGGATAGTTAAGCCTAAATTATGAGGAAATTGGTGACATTGCATTTTAAGGGGGAATGAAATTGAATGGAAAAGGGAAACAGTTTAAGAGAGACAATTGTGACTGACCGATATGCGACCTATAAAATCGTAATGAATAGAAAAAGACGACACGACATGACATGACAGGGACGACATGGATGGACGGACGGGAAACAAAAGCGGGTGAATTAATGGGAGTAATATGTTGGGCACTCTGAATAATTTGGTAATAAAATCAAGACCAAAATGGTAACAATAATTGGGTAGGAAATTTAAGTTCATAACTTTCCAGAGAAAATTAGATTTCAAGAAGGAAGCAAATTATAACTTTCCATTTGCAAATTTGTTACCGAAGTTATCACCAAAAATTTTATTACCACATTATTTACCGTGTCCTTACTAGTGACTAGAGGAGAAAGTGAGACTATTTACTACACGAGTAGGATGCATGGTACACACACACCAACCAGAGTTATAGGGAAGAAACGATATTAAAGAGACTTTTGCAAACTGACAAGCACATTTTGTTCCCAATCCAATCAATCTCCCTCAATCAATATCAATTTACTGTGTTATGGAAGGACACAGAAAATGGATGCATAGCCCGCCTTACTTTTCGAGAAAGTGAATATCTAAGTAATCCAGTTGTTGTTGGCAAAATGGAAAAGTTTTTGAAATGCGGAAAAGAATGCATAACTTTTTTTTTCTAAATTGGACCCGTAATAACTGACCGTGAAGAAAAAAGGTTGCGGTTTCGTTTCGTAAAGGGCAACAAATTGCGATCCAATTCATCCAAGTTTATCCATGAAAGTTGCAAGTTTTATAATAGGATTGTTTTATCGCGAAAAGAAAAATTGGCAAACCTTCTACCCCCGAAATAATAGAGACATTCTTCCTTTCTGTCAAATGGGTAACCTATGCGTTTTATTTATCTGGTAACAAAAAACTGCGACAGACATTGACCAGTCGGCTAAATATTTAGGTTTCATTTCATTTACTCTCTCTTAACTACTGTTAGTCGAGCTGCACACCTTGCATACACAGCAAAAAGAAAGTATACAGAGTGAAAGTTCATAGCTATCTAGACTGAAGTACATAAGTACGAATAGGTATCCGCACGACTGACCAAACCAACCCACTTACTTACGAAACCCAGCACAATTTAAGACGACACACCATACCATCATATTTTCCTCACCACCACTATTTATGTAGTCCAGTCGCTCGACATTGTCAACACACCGAGAGAAACAACAACAGCCCATCCAACACAACAATTCATAATACCCATCCATCCATACTACACGGCCGAATAATGAAATTATAATGGGCCCTGGCATGAAAATCATGTACTTTTCTTATCCGCAGAGAGAAAGCCGAGAAGAAGAGAGAGACAGAGAAATGGTCATGATGGAGTTGGAAATGGAGCAACCCACAACCACCACCACCAGCGATACCACCACGACGACAAACAGTGCTTCGAATACGACCAAGCTCCAACTGGACTCGTACTTTATCCGCTTGTCCATCCACCAACAACAGACAGGGAACAGTGGTGGTGAGGGAAAGTCGTTGCAAACGCGAGCGGAGGAACTTGAGAGGAAAATTTCCACGTCTTCTACATCATCATCGCCCCCGTTGACGCCAACGATTCAGATCACGACGACCGGGGCGACGCCGTCCTCATCGAGTGGGAGTAGTAAGAACGGCACCACGTTCTTTTTACAAGTACCGACCCAAGATTTGTCCAAGTTGGCGATTATGCCGCACAACTAAAAACTTCATAAATTGACTGACTCCCACTTTTTATATAAGTATGCTGAAAAAGTTACCATTTTAATCTCAATTTTTTTTTGTTTCCCGTAAAAAATATTTAAATAATGGTCGAAGGCCATCCAAAAACGCATCGTCGCTTGACCCGCTCCATATCGACGGGAAGTTCTGGTATGATAATAAGTCCCAACAACAGCGCGAGGGTAACTTCGATCACGGCAACAACGCCGCGGTCTACCTCTGTTTATAGTACGTTAAGCTTGCATCTTATCAATTCGACGCCATCGTCGCAAGTAACAACGCCAAATTTTGTGGTTCCGAACCCCATCACTACAACAACGAGTACGAAGAGACCTTCGTCCCCCATGTCGTCGTCGACATCGCCACCCCTTCTGATCCAGAGTGGGAGAAAGGAGACGAGATCGATCCTTTATCAAGGCATTTATCAAAAGTTTAATCGAGTCTTCTCCGCCGTGAATGCCTTCAAGATGCAGAAAGTTAAGGGGTCCTCGGTGTCTGGGGAGTATTCGAGAGTGGCGACGACGACGACGACGACCGAGGGAACAGCGACATCGTCGCCGTCCACGTCGTTGCAGAATTTCCAAACTTAACATACCTTGGAATATTGGGCGACGACGTATTTGAAAATCTCTGGAGGAGCGAGGGTCAAGAGGGGTTCGACCGCATCGAGATCGTCGGTACGGAGCAGGATCATCTAAAAAAAATATTTATAAAAAAAGAAATCAATATTAAAAAAGCTAATGGTAAATATTAGTTAATTAATGATAAGCCATCACATAATATGTGTAACAAAAGTCTTCTAAGTAATTCTTCTAAGTAAACACGTATCAAATTATTTAATGGAAATTACAGCATTTAAGAACAGTGTGTCTACCTACCTACATTTAATTAATTAACGGCGTACTTAAGACGGGACATAAAGTATTTAATTTATTATTGTTATTATTATTACGTATTGCGTTTGTCGATATTTTATACATGAATTTTAGTCGTATGCATTTTGATGAATTGTTCTATCATGCAAAAAGGGTATTGTGCATTTCGGTAGTAATTAAGAAATTATGTGATACGAGACTAATTAAGAGAAGGCAAGAAGAATTATTAAGAATCGTCGTCCTTGTACATGTACATAATTACGATTATTAATTTAATTAAGGAAACGAATAAATAAAATAATACTGAACGTTCTACCTTCAATGCTTGTTTCGCCTTCAGTTTCATTTCTTCGGAAGCATTCTTGCACGTGTAAACCTGGAATTGAGTCAAGTTCATGAAATTATTGTGGAGTGATGATGACTTTCATCTCGTAATAACTAGTACACGTACATACCTGCAAGATTTTTGGAAGTAGCCCAACGCTCGTAATGTGTTTCGCATGCTCGTCCGAGTGACGTCCAACGTGTCTGTGGAGAAGAAAGATAAGTGGATTAGATTATGTCTAGTGGGAAAAGAATATTGAAATATGGTCGATCCTCTCTTTTGTGTAGTGTGTACTCATTCATTGAACCAGAGCCAAATCGATTTGTCACCAAAAAATCATGAACAAAACCACACACTGAGTTTAGTTTGTAAATGTATGAAAAATTGGGTAATACTCAATTTTTAGGGGGAAATGGGAAACTTTTTCTATTATATATCCTGTGCACTTTATCCCAAAGATTTGTAAATGACGTCGAATATTCACGAAATGGATGACAAATTAATTTCTGAAAGTCTCGAAATCTTGTGCACTACGAAGCTAAGACGGCCTTCGTTGTCACACTTTTACTTTACATGTACGCACCCCAAAGACCACGCAGCAGCAGCGCCGATTCCATTTTCTGCCTCTTCGTCCAGCGCGAGAGCCAGCGCTTCGACGCCTTTGGAGTAGATGACGGAGAAACTTAGGGCGGGATTATGACCAGCGATATAGCCAAGGGCGAGCACGGCAGGGAGGCGGTTTTCCCCTTTGTTGCGGACAATCGAGTTCACCAACACCTAACAAACAGTCAGGAAACGAATCTTAGAGATACAAGTCAACGTCTATAGAGTATTAATTTTAATATTATTCTACGTACGCCAAGTCCACCACCTTCCACGACAAGCCTCGCCAATTCCGGAGAGTGTTTCACGATTTCTTTGATCAGTGACGTGGCCGCTTTTCTATTAAAAAAATCAACTCGTCTTAATTTTATCTCACCCATCTGACAGAAGATAGATAAGATAAATCATTACCGCACTAATTCATCCGGGTGACCCGCATGTTCCAAGACGAGAGGGAAGATGCCAGCCTCAATCACAGTCTCCGCCATGTCCATGGTGTGTTTCGAAATAGATGAGAGGGTAAAGAGGGCTAAAGTATAAAGAACATAATTTATAAGTGACACCACCCATCAACACGACCAGACTGCACGTCGTATTTTTTTCTTTGCCAGTGAGATCAAATATAAAATTAGATGCCATTTCCACCTGTCCGTCTCAATCTTGCGTCTGGATTTCCACTCGCTCGTACAAGATGAGGCACCGCACCGGCGTCCAAAACGGCTTGCGCAGTTTCAGGGGAATGTTTCGCAATGTCTGAGAGAGCACTGGATGCGATGACGCGAACATTGACTTCGGGTTCTTGAAGGGCGAGCGTGAGCAGTGGGACGGCTCCTGAGGGGAGAGAAGTTTGAAATTAAACTTATATAGCAGACTAATTTGCATTTCGGAAATTAAGCCGATTCACACATACCAGCGCCAATAACTTCCGTCGCTAAGGCCAAGTTGTGCCGGGCGGTGAATCCTAGAACGAAAGCGGCCCCTTCCTTCACACCAGAGTCGAATTCTTCCAAAGCTGAGATCACAAAGTCCATCCCACCGGAACTGATGACAGCTTTGGCCATTTCCGGGGATTGTTTCACGATGGATTTCAGCGAGGTGAGGACTGCTCTTTTGAGATAGCGCTGTAAACAAAATAATTTTTGTAAGATGTACAAATTGTTGCAAAATGGGAGGCATGGGTAAAATAAATTTGTTCATCAATTTTCTACCCACATTGGGACGATCTGCTTCGATAGAGATCAGCTTTCGGAGGAGGTCCGCTCGAACGACGAGTTCTGCCACGGGGAGAGAATGGCTCGCCAAACGACCAACTGCAAGGGCAGCATTTTGTTGAATTGTGGGTGACACGTCGGACAGGAGGCCTTGGAGAAGACCGAGTACGTTTTCTTGGAGGAGCTGAGATTTAAATAAAAGTGGTCGAAATTAGGACGAAATTTTTGGCATGAAATAAACATAAAACAAGATTTTTTTTCCTTGCCTGTTCAATACAATCGGGACGACCGGCTAATTCAGCGATGGCCTGGGCAAACTGGGTCCGAGCGGCTTGAAATTGCTGGAACACTAAAAATTAGAGCTGTTAACATTGCTCGATATTCGGTCCGGTTTTATTATTTATTCTTACCTTGAGACACAGATCGAGGACCCATGATTTTCACAAAGCTTTTAACAAATTACACGCAACAAGTAGAATCCGACTTAAAATCGATATCGATAAGAGAGCAGAATGTGAAAGGTTTGCAAAATTATTTTTCCAAACTCATTTTTATTTTCAAACACCCAAGTCTGACTCGAAATGTTTCTATGACTTTGAAATAAAATGATCGACATGTAAAAATGACGCGTTTACGTAAACGGGTGACAACTGCATCTAAAAAATCATGTAAATGGTTCAACTAATTACTGATTAGTCGAACCAAGTATTACAAAAAACTGGTATCACCCATCTACACAAACCTGACACTTTTACAAAATTGTTGCGAAAGTTATTAAAGCGTTTGAATTTACTTAATATTTCTCTTGTTACATTACATCTCATAATAATAAATTAAAGCTTTTCTTACTTCTTATCCTTAATCTTATCATCTTCACCACCACCACCATAATTCTCATTACCAACAATATCACAACAATCGCCAAACAACTCGGCTACAGCGAGGTCTAACACATCGACAAAAAAGAGAAAAATATAGTCACGATTCATCCCCAGAAGAGTTATAAACTTGTCCACGTCCACGATTTTCGAGACAAAAATAATATCTAACAGCGATCTCAAAAAGTTTTGTACAATATCATGGCCAAGCTTATCCTTATGAGGGTTACTACTACTACTGGTTAAAATAGGGGGAGGAATGTTATCAGTTTTTGAGTTTGCTTTTGTCGTCGTCGTCGTCGTTATATTTGTGTCACTGGTTCCACTAGCGTTGAAAGCGTCCGTAATTAAGTCGACGGACGTGATGAACAAATCCAGAGTGAGGAAGTCTTTGAGCTCTTGGTCTACTTTGGAGTCGAAGCTGGGTTGGAGGTAAGGTTCGAGAAAGGGAAGCCAACAGGAGAGAAGGGGGATAAGGTAGGGTGAAGCAGGGTGGGTGGAGGACAACAGGGTCGAAATAACTGCAAATAAAGAGATACGAATTATTTTGTAACCCAAAAATCGTATGTTTCTTATATCGCGTAGATCTGTGATCTGTGCTTATCCTTACCAACATTTTCCACTGTGTCGAGCACGTGGCACTTCTCTTCATGGATTTTGACCCTGTTGACAACCTCACTATGGGCTAAATCATGATATGATTTCGAATCAATGCCGCTCCTCGATTTTGATGGCGTCGGGCTGGGTCGTTTCGATGGACTGCTTTCCAAACTCCTGACACTCGAACTGTCCGATGATGACGTGCCTCCAACACCGCCGCCACCAGATTGATTTTGATTTTGTGTCTGCTGAGTTGATAGACTAGATTTCAAAAATTTTGCCACCATATCTTCCAAGGGAGACTTTCTCCTAAAGAATGAATCCGTTTCGACGACGTCATTGCATGAGAGAACGGCAGAAGCTCCTGAAAATGCGGATTGTGACGAAGAAATTGATGACGGTCCATTTGAATAGAGCGGAAGTCCGTCGACAATGCCGGACTCGATTCGCAAAATGTCAGAGAATCCTTGATTAGTTTTAGAACCGTAGGAGGAGGATCGGGAATGAGATTTTGTAATTCGTCTGTAAGAAAAAGACAATTTAGTGAAATTAGCTTTGAATTCCCGTGTTAGCTTTGAATTTTTGCACAAAACTGCAATTTTAACAGTTAATTACTTACCTAGCCGTCCCTGGTGACCTATCCGTTACAACTTCCGTCCCCTCTTCGACTCGACTGAGGCCCATATTTTCATGAAAGAAGTTCGACCTGCAGAATCCTGGCAGGTATTCGACCTCGAGGACGCGTCTGCAGTGATCCCTCGCATCAGGCGAATCGTCGAGGACAGCTTGAAGGTAAGCAAGCGCCTTCTGACCTCCGACGTGTTTCAAGTACTGGATAAGCGGGTAGAGAAGATCGGTTTCATCGATTATTTCTTTAAGCATGGGTCGCCACCGGGACACGATAGGATCAGGCTGTTCGAGAGAGTCCTTCGGGTCGAGAAAGTTGTCGAGGAGGAAGGGAATTGGCGGTGGTGGGTTCATAAGGTCTACTTCGTCATGGCCCATGGGAGTCTTAATGTCAGAATCTATGTAAAACAAGGTAAAAAAAATATTATTCGAGCCATGTGAAATTTTGATACGATTATTAAACCAAAATAAATTACTCGCCTTCATCTTGTTTTGAATATTGGCTCCCCTCAACTATCCCATCGTTTCTCACATCTTGCTGCCCACTCTTGTTAAACTTTTCCTCTAACCAGGCGTTGGCGACGCTCCCCACCAGTTCTGGAATCTGGTCTCTCCCCAGCGAAAACAAGTTCCAAAAAACTCCATCGCTCAAAACAGCGATGCATAACTCCATCCATAACCTGCACTTTTGTTCATCCTCGTTTTGAACGCAGTTAAATATAATCATTCTGCAGAGTCGTCTAATCCGTAGTCTTATTTTGTGTTGTTTTTCCTCAGGGAAAATTAAATCTGCTCCGTCCTGTCCGCCCAGATGAGTTTGAATTTTCAAAGTGTAATGAAGAATTAACGGGATGAGTTTCCGTTTTGAGATTTCGACAGGAAAATCTGGATTTTTTGTGATGCGGAGATTCACCCTCTCCGCGAGGTTAGTGAGGAGTTGTTTAAAAGCTAATTTCAACTGACGCCGGGTCAGGAAGGGGGCCCAATCGGGACCGATGTAATAGTCGAAAACTGTACTGACGAATTTAGAAATTGAAGTATCGAGGCGAGGATCGATTTTGAGATTCAGTTCTTCAATTTTTGGCATGTGATATGGCGTCGGAGTAAAGACGGGGGAGTGCTCAAGGGTCGAGGGTGGGATTTGGAGGCTGTTTGGTGGCGAATTGGGCCGATCCTGCAATAATAATTATAAATAATTATAAATGTATTTTTAATGTACTAAAAATTGAATGTTTCCAGCATTGTTTTCTGTAGTAGGGCGCAAAAGCGGAAGAATTCTGCTTTTAGCTGGTGATATTTTGTATATTATACTTCAAATAAAATTTTGAAATCAAAAATTATGAATTTTTTGCTTAATTTTGCACGTGCAAAAAATTGCCAAAGCTGGGTTTTTGTGCTACTACTTTTTAGGACGGAAAAAGTATTAATTATGCATGGGTTGTTTTCTAAATTACGAACATTATAAAAATACTTTGATTATACCCTTTTTATGTCCGATGACGACAACGACGCTGACGACAAGGGATCCGTCACGGCCAGAGTTGACGAGGACAATGAACCTTTCAACTTTTTGGGGACAATTCGTACTTTTCTAGGAGCGATTTTGAGGCCGGTCCAGTTGGCAACGAGGTTGTCGACACGAGAGGACAGATGCGTGTCGAAATAGTGGATGAAGGCAAAGCCGGACACAAAGGCAATAAATGTAACGAGGATAAGGAACGGATACACAAGGAGGAGGACCAGCACCATGGCAGAGACGGTGAGAAGGATACGAGGCGATAAAAATGTCGACGAGGGCGACGAAGCGTTATCTTCTTGTCGTGAATCCATTATACTGTTTGGATTCGACTTAAGACTAATTAATACCGTGTTCAACTTGATATTGGAATGTTTCCGTTTAAAAGAGCCTATCAGAGGGGTGTCCAGGTCACGGGGTCACCATTGTTGGCGTGGACGTCGCCATATTACGTCACATAATTTGGGGACACGCCTCAAATTGGTAAATAATGACTCGTCATGCTGCTCCCCGGATATAAATTGTCGTCGTCATGAATAAAACCAGCCTCAATGCAGAACTTCTTCCTAAAAATGAAGACAATTTATAACCAGATAAGTCATGTCGTCAATTATTAATAAATATGCGCATTTTTATTTATCAGTTTACAGCCAATTTCCGGAAACCACGCACTAAAAATTGGCACAGCACCAACCAACCAAGCTTCATACGTACGTACGTGACACGAGTCAAATATCACACTTAACACACTTACCTATTCTATTTAGTATTTATCCTTATCAAAAGAATATAACTAAATCCAGTCTGATCCAGCCCTTGTTAAAGCAAAATATTTTGCAAACTATTTCACTTCGCAAATTCCGACCAGATGTGAGCAAACACTAAATCAACTCCACCGACTCGCTCAGTTCGGGGCAGTTGGAAAAAAAGTGTGCAATGCAAATATTGCAATATGAGACTCATAATAATTGCTGTCGTTAAAAATTAACTATGCAAAGTGCCATATTTGTTTATTACCATGCATCGTGAGAGGGTAACATAATTGACAAATTAAAAAAAAACATGGTGAGTCATCCTATTTTGGCATATGTAAAAAATAATAATTTAAAAACTCACTTTATACAAAAAAAAACTTATTTTATACAAAATCTGGAAATATTTTAGGGAAATATCATCATCATTGATGATTCATCAAGAAAATTATGCAAATTAAAAATATATGTCGGTTTCGTACACAAGTTATCAAGATAAAATAGTATTAATTATATTGGTATTAATCTGAAACCCATAATAGCTTTAGGAAACATTAAAATAATTTAACGGCGCTGTTATGAGCCTTGACTAATAAAGAAATAAAAGATACAGATTGCGTTTTTAGTGAATCTGATGACATCCGTGTTTGTTATCATTATTTTATTTTGCATCCACGGATGCACGTCATATTCGCAGAATGTATATCTCGCTTTGTGGTGATAACGCTTTTTGAGTAATGAATATATCCAAAGGTTAAAGCCATGTATGAATTAGTGTATTGTTAATATAATACGAGTTATCAGTCAGTGTCACTTCTTGTCACATGTTAAATGTATGTATGGAACAGGTAGAAAGCATGAGATTTATAGATAGAAGTAAGTCATAGGGTTTGAGTATGTAGTGAGTGCAGTTTTTGATTTGCATAAAATGTGTAGCACATTCGCAAAAATTTATGTATGGCGAAAAGCTGGGTGGAATGAATTGTAGTTTTTTTAATAGATGAAAAAATGCATTTTTTAATACCAAAAGCGTGCAAAAATGTGCCAAAAGCGTAATTCATTTTATGTGTAAAATTATTAAACGATTTTCCAACATTAAACGATTTCTATTTAATTGAGTTAGTTCGATTCCAATTACGAAATTTTTGTATTTAATAATTCGTCTATTGTGTAACCGGATACTGTATTTGCAGCATTATAATTATATTTTTACAATCCAGTAGAAAATTAGTCTCATATTTTGAGTATGAACATCACATCATTCCGAACGATTTGGAACCCTGGAAAAAATTACGGGGAATTAGTCTCCGTCACGTCACTGGACATTTGGTCATCATCACTCTGGTTTTACTTTATCATTATCATCTCCCTAATAGGATGGCAGACAATGAGAAATGGACATGCCTCCCCAAATCGTGAATGGACACTCCATTATATTTCCTTGTTATTACGTAAGTACAAGAAAATCAATCGATGATAGTGCGGTGATGCCCAGATAATAAAATGTGTAATGTGGACTTTATGCAAATGAAGGTAACAAAAAAAACAGATAAGCGGATATCATCACCCAGCCCGGCACGAAATTTAATCAATGGGCTGATTTTTTATGATCAAGTTTTAGTACAATGTTCATGCATACGTAGGTGAACACGGGAATTGGGTACATTTTGCGAGTTTTTTTGGTTCATTAAAAAAATTGTAGTTTGATTTTCATTGGATGGTTACATAATATTATTTTTCAAGGGTTAAAGCAAAACAATTTAAGAAATACAAGATTTTTGGCGTGGTTGAAATTTTGAATTGTTTTATCGTTTTAATTGTAAAAGTGAAAAAGTGAAGTGAAATTAAGTGTGATAAATTCACAAAGTTTTAAACATCACAGTGCAATTTGCAGATTAATGAATGAGAGAAAATTAGGTAAGCATAATTAACTTTGATACGTCACATGTCCCTGAACTATACGTGGATCGACCTAATTCACATTTTTCTAAAACAATCAGATATCAATTTATCCTCTTTAGACTTCCAACCTTGTCCAAAAACCGTAATTTGCTATACTTATGAAAAGTGTGTCTTATACTCTAATTCCATGCTTTCACCAACACGACTTAAATAATTACAGCATTTAAATCGCAGAATCATAGTTTACTATCTAATTTATAAATTATAAATATCCACTGACACAACCAAGTTATCTAGTTGTGACTTTGTGACATCCACTAATCTAGCGAAAGATTATATTTTTTTTCAAAACTTTCGCCTTTTAAATCTCATAAGACTATCTTTATACGCGAAAATTTCGTAATATGATAAATCAGTAGAAATAATATGAAAAGATTCAGCCATACTTTAAGATTTTCACCAATTACGTCAAAATATTTATAACATCATAACGTAATAATTCGTGAAATGGGAGAAAGTTATTACGCGACTCCTTAACAACTTTCCTCCACCGACGAATAAAGAGATGTGCTCGGCTTTTACTTCCAGTCATGTCATAAAATGTTGTGTACTGTGTACTGCACAGGTACGTAAATAGAGACGTAAAAGTGGAAAACATGATTATAATCATGACCACTCTCACACTCTAGATAATTCGGTAATAAATATTATTACCAGCGTGGTAATACTCGGTTTATTAAAAAAAACTTTTTGTAAAATTAGTAATAATCAGCACAGAAAAGAAACACCTGTTAAGCAATTGAAGCCAAAAACGCTACAAGTGTGCATAAATTTGTGCCAAAATTTTGTGTAAATTACCACTTTTGATAAGCTCCTACTACCAAATCGGTAATAAAATTGTTACCACATTATTTAGCGTGGATGTCGTCGAGTCCTAAAATTTTTATGGCTTTCTCCACCCCAAATGTCAGCCTGTAACTCAATTTCGTCAGAATTTGCAGTTATTCCGAGAATGAAGTAGTGAAGTGCGAAACTGCTCTCTTACTTCTGTCTGATCTTGCATCAAGTGCTTCTCGTTATTACTCAGATATTTTGATAGGTCGGATTTTATCGCGTCTGAAGAAACCACATCGTGTACATAGAAGTATCACTCACAATAAAACTACTAAATAAACGAATAAAACACAAGTACAGATAAGCTTATGTACATATGACGATATTGTTATCAACTACTGATGATAACCATTAAGTCTTATTCTTGGGAATAATTCGGGATTATATTGGTGTGAATTACGATATAAAGTGTACTTTTCCAGAATTTGTCGTGACGCATTACTTCGAATGTCTCGTATTGTAGATATTCATGTAAAGATCCAGGGCGTACATATTTTTTTGGGAAAGGGTTGAAATTCCTTGAAATGCTGTCGAAAAAAATTGGCAAACGATTTCACAGAATTTACACTAATTTATTAAGTTACAATTATCCACGTGAATTACATCAGTATTAAGTTTTTGGTGTTAAAAAATGAACCATAAATTCAGTTGGGCTTACGTAAATTGTGGAAAATATGAAAGTTTCAAAAAATATGAGTCGCCAAAATTTCATTTTCCTCTCCTGCACGTGCATCTTATAGCAAATGTCTAGGTCACCGTAGCTTCAGTTATGTTTATTTAGCTGTGCATAAGGCATACGTACAATTCATCCCATATACGCAAACATACGGTGAATCGTAATTGTGTCACCTCACCTGCAAGGTAAACTCCAACCCATGTTTATTATTATGAGAGCCGAATTATTATCATCGTCACTGGAAAAGAGTGGTGGTGAAAGCAGGGAAATGTGGCAGTGGTTGTGGATTTATCGTATCGTGATTCCACCGTTGGTGCGGATTTTAGTGAGGTGTGCCTACACACAAATGCGCTTAGGAGCAGTTAAAACGGGATTATTTTCTCATCATATATGGTTATCTGGAAATAATGGTCATACATGGGCATCATTTCCTGTTTTGGCTACTACGCGAGATTATGTATCACATTCTGGGTTTTGCACTTACGCCTGTTTGTTTTCTGGGGAAAGTTGGTTGGTTCGTAGTGCAAATGTCTGCGTAAATGCCAAATATGGGTGAGACGCGACGGAGTAAAAGTAGACCTAATGATGAGAAACTTTCAGGTGTGTAACTCCGATTTTGATAAGATTAATTTTTTAGTTTAGACACAGGCCTTTTTTGAACTTTTTTGAACAAATGTGCTAAATTAAGCGAGTCGCGAACTCGCGAAAGTAAATTTTTTAATGTAAAACTAAATCACGCAACAGTTTCAAGTAATTTTGACATGATTTAAAAAAAAGTAAACCCCAAATCATCTTGGATTTTTTTAAATTTCAGTTCCAATTTAGATCTTTGATTCATTATCAGTCATTTTGAATCTAAGAAATCCCAAATTCTTACAAAATTATCAACAAATTTTCAAAAATTTCAATTGGAGCATCCAAAACAAATTATTATCTGTTTTTCGGACAGACCAAAATCGATACCATCAAAATTGGAGTTATACATGTGAAAGACACACCTTGTATCGCATAGACAAAGGATTGAGATAATAGGAACTGCAATCATAGTCTGTGCCATTTTTTGCTATAGAATAAAAGTAACAGCATTGATACTTTTCTGCGAAATTATATAAATTGATCAATTAGCTATTTGACCAAGTTTGGAAAATTCACTTTACTTCAGATCCGACGCTGCATGACAAATTGGCAATTATTAATTTTTATTTGATTACAAATTCTATTAAGAAATGTATTTAGTTTAATTCCAAATACATAATTTAATTATTGCTGTATGTCGTTCCACAAACTCATAGGTATGTTTAAACTATTCGCTTGTACTACCAAATTATTTTAAATGACCAAAAATAATTATGCTGTGGTAACTTTGCGGCCTCAACTGGAAAGCCTACTAGTCGGTTGTTACACTAAAGTGGTGGACAATGTCATTGCATAACTTAAAAGGAATTGAATACTTCGTTAGTGGAGAAAGTTGACAAGTTTGCACTCTTCTCTCGTATAATTCACTTTCTCCCTCTTTGTACTGATCATCATAATCTCTCCTCAATTCAAATGTCTGTCTGCCCGTCT